ATATATATATATATATATATATAAATTGATTTTCTTTTGATTAATATAATTATTTAATCATTGTTGTGTTTCTCTGCTCTTAGAGTATAATTTTTAGAAAAATCAGTTAAATATATTGGACTTTCATCTTTGTCCTTTAGTGCAAGATGTTTCTGAAATAAACCTCCCACTCCTAACATTCGAGTAGAACATAAATATATTAGATAGTTACAAAGATTTTGAATAAATGTATTAGACAATCTTACAGGTACATCTTTTAAATTTAAATGAAAAACAACTGATCACTGAAGCTTTTTTGTATATTAAATTGCTTAAAAATTATATATTGTACTTTGAATAAAAATAAAAATTTCTTATTTTTGGTATAAATTATTTATATGTATTTGATTCAACTCGTATGTGGAATTTTTGAATACATTTAAAAGATGAAATAAAAAAAATTTATGTTTTGATTTTAGTTGTACATTTTGAAAGAGGAACTAACAACAGTTTGAAACTCACACGTAAGTTCCAAATGCATTTATATATGTATGAATAACAATTTTGTGTTTAATTATATTAGATTTTGCACATAATTTACAGAAAAATACATGTATTTAATGGTCATTTATGAAATGTGATTATACAGAAAAACCTATGTTTAAAATGATTATATCTTAAAAATTACTTGTCTTATTAGAAGTAAGTAAGACAAATTGAGACAAATTGAAATATGTTTTATTCAGGAAAGATTTGACATGGTACAAGAAACTACAAAATCTGTTACAGCAAGTGTCAATTATGCTTTTAACTAGTCAAAATCAGTGTACCAAACCTGTCCCTAAATGTAGCTACTACAAACAAGCTTTGTACATTCTGTAGGTTTTCATTGGTGTAGATGATAGCATGTCTTTTGTTGAAATATATACTAAGATGAAGCAAGTTTGGTTTGTCCAAAGACTATTTTCTAGCTTTGTTTCATCATTCAATGACCTGGCCAAAACCCACTGGACAAAGTCAAGTTACTAAGATGGAACACAATTATTAATAGTGCACAGCCATCTAAAATTATAAGCTTTGCACTTGTTTATTGTTTATTGGCTATTACTACAAAACTTATTAAGGCTTATGAGGCTAAAAAATATATTTTATTTTGTGCTCTTGACATTGCCAAGGCATTTGATAGCATTAATCACACAGTTTTACTTTATAAATGTGCTCATTATGGTCTATGTGGTAATATTTATGATATTCTTAAAATGTATTTACTAAATAGGCAATGTTATACCTCAATTAATGGTATAAAGTCTCATTCCTCTATTCTCCATTGTGAGGTTCATCAAGGTTCAATCCTTGGTCCCCTCTTATTTATTATTTATGTTAATGATTTAATTTTGGTATGTTCAAAAGATACTTGCAATCTATATGCTGATGGTATGACTCCTACTATAGAGGCTGATTCTCTTGCCGACTGTTTTAAAATAGCGAACAATGAGTTGCTTTCAATAGAGATCTGGCTTGTTGACAACTGCCTAGTTTTAAATATGTGTTAATCACATTATATGATTATATCAAGGGAACAAGTAAATGCTGTTTTAGGTTTTAAAGAAAATATACTACCCAGAGTTGATTCAATAAACATTCTTAGAGTAATTATTCAGAATAACCTCAGATGGGTTTGTTTGTTTGTTTAAAGTTAAGCACAAAGCTACATAATGGGCTTTCTGTGCTCTGCCCACCATGGGTATCAAAACCCGGTTTATAGCATTGTAAGTCCATAGACATACTGCTGTGCCACTGAGGGGCCCTCAGATGGGATGAGTATATTAAAAGTATCTAAAAAAACTCACCAGAGTAGTCTATGTTATAACTCCGTGTAAGAGGGTTTTTCCACTTAGAGCCCTTTATCAAATTTATTACGCTATTTTATACAGTCAAATGACTTATTGTTTAAGTGTTTGGGGCTCACATTTTAATGCATTAAGACCAATATGGTTGTTACAAAAGAGGGTCTTGAGGCTAATGATAGACCTTCCTTATAGAGCATCAATTTCAAACAGATTTAAGGAATATGGACTTTTAATTACTTACCAGGACTGTGTTTACTGCTTCATTTATGTTGCAAGAGATATTATAATATTTAATCCTGAAATGAATTTGTTAATTCCTTCTAGAGATAGTTTATACTTGTTTCATCATAGAAATATCTATTACTGTCCAAAAAGCACTTCAATTTCGAGTTCAAAGTTGTTGTTTTTTATTTAGCTCTAGTGATTTTAAATAGATTGAACTTTGATGATTGGTCTACCTCAAGTATAAAGCTATTTAAAATAAAAATGTGTAATTATGTATTTAATAATTATTCTATGTTTGGTTTAACATGTGTGTAAATAGTTGTTGTTTTTTACAGTTACTTATCCTTCTTGGCTATAACTTATTGATTAAATGATTAAATATGTCTTTTTCTTTATATTTTGATATTATGGATTGTGTCAGATCAAGTTCTTAAGCAGTGCCAACACCATTTGCTGTCCCAAGTGGGAGTTTCTCAGCTTGATCATAGATGTTCTGAGCAACTGCTACTGCTATGTCTATAGATATAGATGGTCTGCTCAGGGTGAGGAGTACCTTTTATGGACTCATTTGCCTGGAATGGAGAAATTATTTTTTAACATTCTTAAGGCTCTGTCAAGAAAGGCAACATCCACTTTATCTTTGGAATTACTTTTTGACCAAAGTAAAATAACCAATATTTTAACAGCACAACCAAACAGCAGTTGCATAATCCTGCACACTGAAACACAATCATTTTATTCAAATCATCAGTATCATATTGTTAAATAAGAGAGAAAGAGAAGCAAAGCAAAACTAATTTTTGAAGAAAGCCATTAAGTATGCAGTATAATGTGATTTTGAAACACACTGTACATATCCAAGCTTTCTTCAATAGAACTTGTAATCAAGGGGACTTTAATGAAATTTTGTTCTTCTAAAATAATTAGATTTTAAGATGCAGTTATTTGAAATGTAGAATTTTCTTTGTAATCACTAGATATATTTGACCATTTTGTATTTTGACTTTAAGCTTAAAATTGAGTTGTGTCTTGCAATAGTAAAATTTATTTCCTAAATTGTCTGTTTTAATCATAGGAAATTTACTCATTCTAAAGAAAAATGTTAATAAATGTTAGCTTCAGGTAACCTTAATACTTGATATATTTCACTTTATTGGCACCTCAGCAATACATGTGTTAAATGGTCAAGAAAGAGATCCCTAATTTGATACTTCTGACTAGAGGGAAGGAAGCCAGTTGGTAGCACCTGCCATCTATATGGCATCTCTTAACTGAATAGTTGGATTCATTATCACCACTATGATGCTTTCACAGTTGGAAGTGCATGTTATTTAGCATATCATACCTTGAATATTCTGTTCTGCAGCTGAACATGCCATGACCAGACCTCTTGGAAACTGAGAAAATAATTTATTGTATCTTCTAAACATTTAAAAAAATGACAATTTCTTTTAACAAGTTTGTTCACTTAATGCAATACATATGTGTGAATATGATGAATTAGTCTCAGTGTATTCAAACTTTATGTTTTTATCTTGGTGTTTTACAGAGGAATTTATAAAACAGGATCAAGAAAAAGAAAATGGTATGTACTGTTTTAAAAAAAGGAAACTTTTAGTTACTGTACATTGTTTATGAAAAAGAAACATGATGTTTGATACTAAATATGTGAAAGTAGAGAGCACTAATGTCAACTGAAGAAATGTTCAGAAACTAAAGATGAAAATAATTTTTAAATAATTTTATTGCACTATAAAAATAAAAATATGACAATGACTTATATGTTTCACAAAATGATTTTTAAAAACTGTAAACTCCTTTAAGCTGGCAGAAACAATTTAGATGTTCAGAGGGTTAAGTATGTTACATTAAAATGATTTTAAATAAGTAAATTAGCAAATTATGTGAAAACTACAGCATATATAAAATTGAGGTGAAACTGCATGTTTGAGAAACATATTTTGACTTTGCTTGGCATTTTGTTGGTAAAGTGATGTGACTGAAAATTGTATGCCTTTGAAAAATAACTTAATATATGTAACATCCCTTTCTGACACAAAATATTCATACAATTAGATCATAAAAATATTTTTAGATTAGGGATTTAGAATTTCCAAGATGAGGATATACCTTGTACTTAACAGCATTGGAAAAAAAGGGAACATTAATCAAGCTGAGGCACCAGAACATTCCAGAAAGAGACCTGCAATAAGTTGAACCCCAGCCATGGAGAACAATGTTTGTCATCTTGTAACAGGAGATAATCCATGAACATAATGGTTAGTGGCCAAAGCTTGTCTAATCATCAAGAAGGATTTTCATGTGGAAACTGACACAAATCAAATGTAAATGTGTTGCTTCAATGACATACCCAATGAAAAAAACACACTGTAGAAAACTGTATGAATGGAGAAAAGTTGAATTATGTGGTGACATTTCATGAAGCATGTGTGTACTTTGATAATTATAAGAAGTCTCATGCCATTTTCTGCTGGTCAAGGGGTGAAAAGAAGTTTCAACAAATGGTACATGACATGTGGCAAAACATTTTCAAAGGAGAAAATTAGGGTTTATGAGAGGGATATAATGTACTAAATCATTTGTACCATACAGAAGTACCAGAGTTTTACTGAAACGAGGCCAACAGTGTGTGGGCTTACCAAGATAAGGCTTGCAGTCACACTTCCTGTGCAATTGTCACCTACCACAAGCAGCTGGAGAATGAAGTGAGTATTCATGCTATTACATCTGATGGCATTCTGTTTGATTGGACTATTTAAACAGAAGCTAGTGAACTATCATCCCTGTACACTAGATGGATTACGGAAAGCAGGGAAGAATAGTGTGTTTTGACATGACAGCCTTACAATGGAGCTTTTTGAAATATATACTACACAACATGGCTATTGTCAAAATTCATGATTGTCAGATAGATTGTGACTGAATTAGGGGACATGGATATTAATGTCATGGTGTGGCTCCATAGTCATTTTGAATTAACGTACTCAACCCTCTGTATATATAAAAGAAGTTGTCAAATATTAAACTTCATGCAGGGCTAAGTAGCATACTTGTTAGACAGTTAGAAAATTAATGTTAATACTAACATTTCTGAGCGATTTATAACCCATAATAATTTGTACATTTCCACCAGGCTCACAAGCTGGATGTTTGAAGGAACCTGTCAAGTTTATATATGATGTGACATTTGGAAAACCAGCTGAATTAACAAGAGATTATTATAAACTGTTGAAACCCTCTCACTGTAAATGCTCCATCTTAGATTCAGGTAATTTGATAATTAATTAAACATGAGTTAAAAAATTAAAAAAAAAGTCAAACATCTTTGTATATTTGATTTTTTTAAGAATGAAATTTATAAAACATAGAATAAAACTTGCTATGATTATACAGTAGTACTAATCTGACTAGATTTTCTGGTTATGGCACATTTAGTGTACTGTGTCCAGTCTTGTGCTCCTTACCTTAGTAAGGACATTGAATTGTTGAAAAGGGTTCAAAGGATAACTACTAGAATGGTGCCTGGGATGGAGGGGTTGTCATACGAGGAGAGGCTAAGATCTCTGAAATTGTTTTCTCTTGAAAAAAGAAGTGTTAGAGGGATCTGATTGAGATATTTAAGATTGTTCAGGGAATTGATGGTAGGGAACACAAATATAAATTTTGGCAGGATAGGAGTCATCATCAGCCAAGACAGTTATATTTTTCTAACAGGGTGGGTGGCCTTTGGAATGAGTTACCTTTGGATGTTGTAGAGGCAGTAAATTTAAATGAGTTTAAGAGAAAGCTTGATGACTATATGAATAATTAGGGATGGCTTTGAGGTATTTTCTTGTTATTAGTTTTTTATTTTTTGTTATTATATATATATATTTTTTATTTAGTAATTTAGTTTAGAGGATGGGACAGCCTAGATGGACCAAAAGACCCCTTGCTGTCCCTAAACATTATACTATGTTATTAATCTCGACAAGTTCAACTCTATAGAGACATGTTATGAATTACTGTAAACATTTTATTGATACATAACACAAAACACAAATGATGATCCACTTAAACTGGATAAATGTTGAGGGGTGAAAACAATAACACTACAGGTACTACATCACAAAGTACTACAATACTATACCAAACTAGTTTTTAACATTGATCTCAGGCACTAGTAGATTGTAAACTACATGGTATACACTGTATATGGACACCTGTCCTACCCACAGTACTAGCCCACCTTTTATGTAACTCAGCAGGTAAACATTTATGCTCATTTAAATGTGGAATATATATGATCCATGTATGAACAACAACAAATCCTCAATCATAAGGTCTAGCAGGACACAAAACATGAAAAACTAGACATGTCAAGCTACAAAAAGTAACATTTTAGGCTGCAATTTATTACATATACTCAACTGTATATAGGGCAGTCCAGAATCAGAACTTTGGAAAAATCATGACTTCTATAAATAAGAATTATACACTATATGTAGAATCTGTATACTATGACCATTTTAAAAATAACTGAAAATAAAAAGAAGTGGTATTTACTCAGTATGTAAAATGTAATAAAATATAAATAAAAATTTTTTTTTAAATTGAACTGAGTTTAAAATATTGTTTTAATAGTTAAGAGCTACACACACAAATCAGTAAAAGGATACTAACTTTGAGATAAAAAATGCACAAAAGATTTCAATAACATATCTTGGCTCATTAAGAATTGGAAATTAGTTTGTCTCAAAGCACCAAAGCTGTTTGCACACAATAGTTTAGAACATGAGGAAGAAAAGATAAAATTTGACTACAACATTAAAGATATATGTTGTAAGAAATTGGGTTATCTGATATTTTCTCTTATTGAGCTATGAATATACACAATCTTACCAGGTTAAATTTGTGAGATAGTTCATATTAAAGATGCTTGGATATATAATTTACTTTAAGCCTATAATTAGTTTAGTATTAGCATACTATCATGACAAGCTGGGCTTAATCTTCAATATTCCTATCTAATAAACTCCAACTTCTTGAAAGAACATATTTAATTATTAGGGATGCACGGGTAGTAAAATTTGGCCAAATATTGGGTCTGGGTACCTAGCCACTAAGCTTTGGCTAGGGCCAGGTGTCAACCGGGACTGGGTTCTCCCCTCATCCCCCCCATAAAAAAATAAACAACATACACAAAAATTAGAAACATAAACAAAATTGACGTTTATTACATTTAACCGAATAATCACCAATAAAAATTCCAGTTTTACTTTCAACTTTCAAAATTAACTTACAAAAATGTGCACACCAGCTTGCAGAATGCCTGTATATTTGGAGTTTGTTTAAATTGTACTTGAGGAACAGTAGCATTTCAGCATTTTCACGTTAAAGCCTTGACCTTTCGTGTGTGATAATGTTGCCAGCAGCACTGAAAGCCCATTTGCTGTCTACACTGGTCGGAGGGGCAGAAAGATAACGCCTTGCTATCCTGGCCATTGTGGGAAGTTGAGTTCCAGAGAAAAACATGGTGATTTTTAAAATGTGAAAATGACATGTAAAAGTATTTGGCAATCTGAAAAACTTAAAGTATATATATATATATAGATAGATATATATAATCATACTAAACACAAGTTATTTTTGTTTCACAGAGGCTGGCTATGGTTTACTTCTAAGCCATAAGAAACCAAAGGCAAACAAGTGGCAACTTTCAGAAGAAGTTCAAATTTACCCACTACCTCTGGGTGAAACAGTAATTCCAGTATGTCCTGGAGAACTCATTGTATCTCAAGAGGTTGTACTTCCTGTAGTTAAAGAATTGAAAGAAGTATCAAACACAGAAAGAGCCACACAAGCCTGCCCAGCAGATGTTCAGAATTCTTGTCCCCAGTGTTTTTATAGGTTTAATGAGACAGTGGCTCATCTTTACTGTGCTGCTGCAAGAGGTATGTTGTTTCTGATACTCTTTATTTATAGTTATATTTATTCTTTGATTTAACTCTTCACATTCAACTCATTTTCCTGAAGTATTACAAAAAGAGAATATTCTAATAAATTTTGTCATTGCAATTTTGTTTTTAAATTCAAAATATTAGAGAGATATAGATAAGGTTTATTGTAATTAGATAAGAGAATTAGGTGTACCCTTAAATAATAGTACTTTATTGCACAAACAAAACTTTGCTTAGATTAATGAGTCAGCTCATCTGTTGTTACAGTTGTTCTGTCTTTTGTTCAATTACTTTAGAGATGTTCCAGTAAATGTATAAGCAAGCTAAAATATATACTGGTTATACAATTAATGAAAGCAAGTTAATCCAGTGAAGTTAAAGTTGGGTTGTGTTTTATGATTTATCCAACAATTCAGGATTGACCATAGTACCATTTTAACCAGACTTAATCAGTGGTGCCATTTCAGCAAAGTCTGGGGAGGGGAGTGAGGCAAAGTTGAATTACAATTTCTACAAAATACGTGAACTGTTGATGATGTAGCACATTTTGGAGTTTACACATCAACTGTAATAACTATGAGTCAAAGGGTTATGAGAAACAAAAAAATAAAACACAGAAATTTCAACTTTATACTTTGCATACATTAATATTAGTAACATACCATGAACATAAACCATTAACCAGATATTTTACATTTTTCAAACAAACAAAATTATGTAACCACATGCATTAAGCCTAGCAGCAGATGAGTGTAGCATTGCAAAGTGGTTTGTAAAACATAGCTCAAATTGTATACTTGCCAACTCATGATTTGGGCAGCAGTTTCCTGAATTTGCACCTTTGACCAGATCTACAATTTTTGGCATGTACACTGATTTGTGTAACTATAATTAACTTTCTTCTACATTAAATATTTCCTTGTAAACATCAGCCAGTTGTTTGCTCTCTTCAAAGAAACCAGTTGAGTAAACACATGATTCATACCAAAAATCGGGCTTCACTTTCTTCTTGGCCAATGAAAACCAATTATACAAATAAGACACATTTATTGTTCTAAATCAAGCATGGCTTTAAACCAGTTTTGCTTGTAAATTGCTTGATTTGCCGTGAGTCACACAAAATCTACCCCAGGAGAATTTTTTAAAAGTTGGCAAGAATGAAATTGATCAGAAATACTGATTATGATGTTTGGATAAATGGTGTGGTCAAGAAGGCCTAGTAGTTAACATCATTAACTTTGAATCCTAGGTCCATGGTTCATGTCCTTTTGCTGCAAAATTTCACTCTGTACAATAGGGTTGTTGGTTATTATAAAAGTGAGTATTAAATCATACTATTTAATTAGAGTACCCCAAGGTCTGGCAGTGTGTGCTTTTGACTATATTAATAATATATATATACAATATCCAACAAGTTCATAGAAATAAAGATTACTTTGACATTCTTTTTTATTGTTGTTATTTATCTAACAAGATTTGAAAATTGAAAGTGGTGTCTTATTTCTGTGTTTTTGTTTCTGATTAGTGATCCTGCTTTACATTTTACTTTGATAAATGGGCCTTAAATATAACAAGCTGAATATATTTATATTACAAATTTGTTAAATTGGTAGAAATTGACTAAACCTTCTGACTCACAAGTTTTATGTTCTTATAGTAAATTATAGTCTTGATACATTTTATCCCAATTTTTTATAGTTTTGTCATAGTTTATGAATTTAAAAAAATAAAATTACATAATTCAATTTCAAAAAGGTTTGTGATAAACATTTGTTTTAATAAAATAATTAAATGATACTTGTGCACCAACAAAAGATTAAAATCACACACACACACAACAATGACATAGATTTATTATAAAGACGGCACAGCCCCAAAAGGTTCTACATGATTTAGCAACATTTTAAGCTACCACCCTTGAATCAAAATCTTTATTTAAAATATTGTTTTTTCTTCTATTTCTACCAATTTTCTGATGTTAAGTTCTCACTTAAACTCAGTCTAACATTTTCCCAACGTATAACATGAGATGTGCTTCCCACATGCTCTGTTAAAGCCAATTAATTTTGTTTACATTTATTTACCACATTTATAAGTTCTTTAATTCTAAATTTCAGGTTTTTACATGTTTGTCTATCATAAATCAAGCCACAGAAAAAAGGACTTTTATAAATACCATATTTATAGACTTTTATTTTACCTTCTATGTCTTTGAGACAATTATTTAATTTACAATGCAGAGAGAACTTTACAATCTATGTATTTTTTATTATGTTATGTATTCTCGTTGGCATACCAAAATTTAGCAAGGAAATTCTCATGCCATCAGCTTTACTATTTTCATGTAACCTTGTACATAGTGACATTTTTAATTTATTGCTATTCTTATTGTACAACCTATCAATAATCTCAGGATCATAGCCTCTACCTCTTGCTATACATTTTAAGGAAATTAACTCCAATATTAATGATGTAAGAAAAACACATAGGTTCAAGAAATCTTGATAGAAATGAATAAAAACCCTATAACCCAAGCACTTTCGAAAGGTGGACCTTTCTTCTTCAGGAGCAAACTGGGAATATTAAGTCATAATCATAAGTACAAATCTTCAGTACTCTAAATATAAATATGAAAAAAGCAGATAATTTTTATAGTAATGGTTGACACAATCTGTTATGTGGTGGAATGGTAACCAAAAACAGTTTTATTTAAACCAAGATTAAGAGAAAACCATTATCCCATTTGATTTTGATATATAGGAAATTTAATTGGCCTTTTTTTAAAAAAAATTCCAGTGTGAAATAACTGAATTAAGATGTTCTTGGGCAATACTTCATTAATGAGTTATTCCCATTCTATCACACCAAAAACATGCCATCCACATATCTTAAACACACAAAAGGTTTAATGACAGAAGTATTTAATGCATCCTTTTCAAATTTGATGATGAACAATTCACATAACATGAGGAGGGTGGAATAAGGGAGACTCTATAACTAAACCTTTAATCTGTTTGCTTTTAACAGATCTAATTTTATTGTGAAGTAAGTAATTCAACATTTTACTTGGGATTTAATCTTATATTATTAATAATTATGAATTATTTCATAAATACACTTAGTTTGTTGGTTGCTATCTTTAAACTTTTATTCAATAAATATTGAATTTCTAATGAAACAAAAAATAAGATCCAATATATTTCAAATTTATAAGTCTACTTCTCAATTACTGTACAATTGGTAGTGTCATTTCATGTACATGTATGTATATGTGTATGTATAAGGTATGCACAAGATAATTGGAAGCAATGATTTTAAAACTTTAGGTTTCTATAGTGAAAAATATTTTTTATGTTTATGTTTTTCAGTTTTACTGGTTTATGTTGATGAAAGTGACAGAGGGGGTAAGTTAACCAATCTAGTATTCACTTTTGTTATTTATAATAATTAAAATACATGCAAGTGTCAGAGCTTTGAAATTAGATTATTATTTTACATTTAGAACTTTAGATATTTCTACTTTTTATTTTAGCTTAATATCTTACTTTTAAAATAACTATTGGCTTTTAAAAAGTCACTTCAGGTTTAACGCATTTAAGATTTAAAATAATCATGAGCCACGACAGTGGTTCATATTAGGGTTCACCCAGGAATTTCACAGAAATTAAAATAGAACATATGGGCAAAAACCGTCTAAAAAGCAGAGTTGTTCTTGAAACAACACTCAAGACATTCTGTCTCAATGGATAAGGCTGCTAAAATAAAAAGCAAAAAAGTTGATTTCCAATTGTTACACAAAATTTAAAATTCATCCATTTGTTCTTCATATTATTATTATTCTTGTTTCACAAGCTAACAGAAAAATGGCTATGAATATTTTATTCAAACCTGGGCAAACGTACTAAAAAAACTGCTGCACAGGCCATAGGAATATTTTTGTATTGATTCTTGAAATTCAAGTTCCTCTTCTCTACCAATGTAAAGTTTTCAAAGCCATTAAAGTATCACAGAAATATAGGAGCCATTTAAGCACCATTTTACTAGTCAGAAAATCCTTGTTTTATTAGAGTAAACAAGGTGTATATTTATAACAGTGTCTCCAGCCTTATTATTATTGATTATAGTTTTACAAGTTGCTACAGAAAAAACGGCTATGAATATTTTACTGAAACCTGGACTATAGTGATGAATGCAGTATTGAGTATGTCATAAGGTAGTTTTAGAATTAAATTAAGTGTATTCGTTTTTTCACCTTGTAGAATTTCTCAAAATCCTTCACTTTCTTCCATTGAAAAAATCTGGTGATTTACTAATACACATTAATTGGAAAATAATTTGTGCAACTTATAACGCATTAATTCGAAACTGCCATGTTAAGGATTCATCATTTCAATTTGTGAGTGATGATTTAATCAACAGATTTTTGTACTTTGCTTGCTAAATGCATGTTTACATGAAACCTCAAGCACAAATATTCCTGGCTCAGTAAATAATGATTGGGTGGGAGAAAAGCCAATGCAGCAGTGAACTGTTGTAAAACATGTAACATTCAAAACTGAATGAATATGCACATATGTAGCTTAAAATGTATTCTCCATAAATGGACACATAAAACTTAAGAAACAGGATAATTAAAAATTGTTATTTCAAAAAGGGGAATAGGGATTTTCAAAAAAAAAAGTACAAAATTAGTTGAATCAAAATGCAAAGGTTATATTTTAAAGCCTACAACTAGGGACTCTAAAATAAGTAAACAAACTAGGCTGGAAATAGTGTCTACATTATTTTCTCAAGCTACAAATCCCTATTTTGACTCCACTAAAATTGATAAGCACTGTAGACATGGAGCCAAGCATTGTTTGTTTGTTTACTCTGTTTAGAATCCCTAGTTATAGGCTTGAAAATACAATCTTTGCATTTTGATTCAACTTGTTTCTGTACTTTTTTGACAATCTCTATTTCCCTTTTTAAGTTAGGAAGTATTAATTACCTTGTTTTGAATATAGCCAAAACTGTATCAATGTATAATAACTTTAATATTTATCATAAAAATGTGTATTTCTCTCCAAACAAAACTGTGATGTATTTGTTTCAAGCATGCATGTAACATACTTTATGCAGGAAAAGAAATTTTATATGTAAAGTTTTGTAACTAATTAATGTTTGAGTTACTGCTCTGGACAATTTTTGTTTAATTACCTCTCAAAACATAGATTTGACTTGATATATAGAGTTTTTAACTTATCAAACTGATTTAGTCATTGTAGACTTTCAAGAAACATTCGAACAGTAGCAACCTAAATTATTGTTTGTGTGTTATAATTTATGTGAAATAAAATAACTATACTTATCTCTTAAATTTATAGTTCAGCAGATATATAAATTTATTGTGCATTTTGATATGCAAATGTGAAACATTGCATATTTATACAACTTTAAAAAGTACCAAACAATTATGGATCTAATTCAAATTGATCAGAGTCTTTGGTGGCTTTTACTACCTTCTGCAGGTCAGTATGAGCAAGTAATTTAACAGTTGAAAGATTTTCAATCATAGTTTCATTAATAATTTACCAATTAAAGCTCAAAATGGCTTTAAATATTTGCATGAATGTGAAAATTATCATACAGCAATTAATAAGGCAATAGCTAGTCATTTCATTAACTGGTAAGCAAAAGAATCACACAAACAAGTGAAAATATTTCTGTTTAATTATCAGTTTTGTGTACATTTTCCCTCTAGTTTTCTTGTGTACAGTTCTAGGTCATTGTAAAAAACCCTTAAAAATGCATTGATATCCATAAAATTAAATGATACACAATGTTATCACTTAAAAAATTTCTGTATTGACCATTTTGCAAATAACCTTACTCACCCCCTCTTTAGTGATCAAAACTAACAAAATGTAATAAAACACAGATAATGCTATTAATCTGATCACACGAGGGCTCAGAATGTTAATAAAGATGTGAATCTACTAGTTATATTCCTTAAATATCAAATTTATAGATTTGCTTCAGCTTATATGATGAACACAGAAATATCAATACAATCGTAACCTAAAAAAACTAGAGGCCATAATGTATATTAAACTGATAATGTTATAAAGCAATTGTTATTCATTTTAACATAACATAATGTTATGGGACAACATGGGACCAATTGGTCCATTTCAGCTCTCCCATCCTCTAAAGTAAACTAACATTATTAATAAATAAATTAAAAAACAACTTAAAGCCAGCCCTTATCATTGATAATACTATGAAGCTTTCTCTTAACCTCACTTAAATTTACTGCTTCCACAGCATCTGAAGGCAACCTATTCCAGAGGCCAACCAACCTGTTAGAAAAGTAAAACTGTCTTAGCTGAAGATGACTTCTGTCTTGCTAAAATGTATATCTCTGTCCATAGTCCTACTATTCTCATTGTTAAGTATGAAAAAAGACGATGCATTAACACTATCAATTCCCTTTACAATCTTAAACACCTCAATCAGATTCCTTCTAACTCTTCTTTTTTCAAGAGAAAAAAATTTGAGAGATTTCAACCTCTCTTTATATGACAACTTCTTCATCCAAAACACTATTCTGGTAACCTTCCTCTGAACCCATTCCAACAATTCAATGTCTTTCCTAAGGTAAGGAGCGCAAGACTGAACACAATACTTCAAATGTAACCTAAACAGTGACTTATACAATGAAATTATAACCTCTTTACATTTATATTCAATATTTCTGTAGATACAACTTAAAATCCTATTTGTTCTATCACTAGCAACAGCACACTGCTTGGATAGCTTAAGAGACTGATCAAATATTACACCAAGATCCCTTTCTTTCATGACACTGCTAAGGTTATTCCCATTCAAATTATGATAACCGCCATGCATTATCTTGCATATATTACAATTAAAACCCATCTGCCATATATTTGCCCAACTCACTAAATGAGCTAAATCCTTTTGTAAATCAGCAGCATTCTCTTCACAGCTAGTAACACCCAAGTCCTGAGTATCATCTGCAAAATTAAGTAATTTATTAACCATTCCTTCACCTGTGTTATTGGTGTAAATAAAAAAAAGCAAAGGTCCCAAGACTGAGCTCTGAGGTAACCAACTTGTAACATTAATCCAGGTTCACTCAACTCATTTATAACAACCTTCCACTTTCTTCCATTCAGCCACTCTTCTATCCAATTTGCTAACTTATTCCCTACACCTACAGAAATAATTTTTTTACAACCCTTTTATGTAGAACCTTGTCAAATGCTTTCTAAAAATCCAGATACGCCAAATCTACAATCTTATCCTCATCTACATGAGCAGTAACCTTTTCAAAGAATGGCAAAAGATTTTTAAGCCAAGATTTACCCTTAGTGAAACCATGTTAACTATCCAATAAAATTCTAAACTTTGTTAAATGGCTTTGCAATGTATCTTTTATCAGACTTTCCAAAACTTTTCCCACAACTGATGTAAGAGTAATACGCCTATAATTACTGGGACAATTTTTATCACCTCCCCTGAAAAGAGGAGTGACATTAGCTAACTTCCAATTCTCTGGTACGTGCCCACTATTCAAGGACTTACAAAAAATAGTAGCAAGTGTTTCACATATTCAATCCTTAACCTCCTTCAAAACCCCTGGGAAATATTACCTGCCTTAGGAGCCTTATCATTCTTTAAACTTCAAAATTTTTTCTTAAAAAAGCTCAGAATTAACGTCATCATCTTGTTTTATCTTGTTTCCACTTATGAACTGTTCAAGATGTGGAATACTGCTTAAATATTCATTATGAAAAACCAAAGAAAAAGCAAAATTTAAAAACCCAGCCATCTCATAATCATTAGATACAAGCCTTCTTTATCTAAATCTAAATCTCCCATCATACCAGTCAACTAAAATTTCTTAGATTTATGATGCTTTTCGTTAATTTTACCTTGAATATGTAAAAATTTATCTTTAAACATTTTTCACATCTGATCAATGTCTCCATATAACTCAGCTGCCTAATTCACAACAGATAATTCTTGTTGCATCCCTTCAAAATGCTTTTTTGAAAATTTTAACCAAAGTATGTTCCCCAATTTCCACCCTTTCAATCATTTCTGTATTTTAAGTTAATAATAAATCTAAAATAACAATGTTTCTAATTGTTGAAGAAAACCATCTTGAACAGTGTCCAAAAACCCTTCTTCCTCACCACTTGACTCTAGCATTTTCCAATCTGTATGCCTGAAATTAAAATCACCCATATTTAGGACTTCATTAAGAGCTGCAAAATCTTAATCTCATTGTAAAGTTTCTCACTAATTTCATCAGTATCATCTGCTGGTCTGTAAAATGTTCATACTAAAAGCTTTTTCCCTTTATATCCACTAATAGAAATTTAAATGGATTCAA